ACTCGGCTCCAGCCCTACAGAGCAATTTATTGAGTAACAGATCATGTTCTCTCCACAGTTGCTCTACTCCAGAGCCAGGGGCTGTAAGACTCCCTGTACAGATAACAGGAAGGAGAGAAACCCCCAGCCCACAAAACAACCAAAAACCAACCAAACACAAAAACCGACCCCAACGATTGACAATTGAAATGCAACTGCTATTGCTAAAACCCCTCTCATCTGTTCCTTGCGCTGAAGCGCTGGGAGTGATTTGCCACATCCAGCTGCCTCGGGAGAGTTAAACAAGGTCCCCTCTCTCCTAGGAAAGCAGAAAATGTGTGCGTCTTCACTGTACCGGTCCACAGGCAGGCCCCAGGGTATGTGGACACTGTACTTAAGTCACCAATGAAACACACGAGTAGTACAAAAGCTGTATTTTCCAGGTATTTTAGGAAGCCCAGAGGAGGCTAGAAGGAGAAACTGGTGTATGAGGTGGGGAAAAAGGCAGGTGATGAGGAAAGACCGTTATAACTTAATAACGAAAGCGAAATGGGTAACATGTACCGATGCTGACTTCCCCCAAAGTTGATGGGCACTCCTACAAGTTTTTTTTATAGGTTTACACAGGTCTGGCTTCAGACCCAGCTACTGCCTCAGTTTCCCCTCCTACCCAAGATAATCTGACTTTACACTCCAGGGGCTTTCCTGCTAATTCTCTCCTTTTCAAGAGTCTGCTTTATTAACAAAGTTCAAAACACCACAAAATCTTCCCCACAGCTTTCCTCAGACAAAAGTCATTTCAATTGGCAATTGGCTTCAGCGCTCACATAGCTTTTCCTCTAGGCTCTTTCCAGCCCTTTGTCAGAGCTGCCCCTTCCTCAAAGCTCTCTTGCCAGGCTCACAGCCCTTGGCAGCTCTATTAGCTGAGGATTCCCTCTCAGCAGGCTCTGTATAGGTCTCTGGAGAGTTGTCACTTTATCTTCTCAATTTGGTTCTATTTTATATGGAAGAAGCTATAAGTCAATCTCATTTCGAGTTTGATTTTTTACTAATATGATCAAATCCCACAGAAATGGATAACTAACAGTAGTGGGTAGAACAACGAATAGTCTTGCAGCAGCTTGGAGATTGACAAAACATGTAGATGGTATCATGAATGGAGTTATTAAAGGTCCAGTTTCTAAATAAACAGGGGATGGGGTGCAGAAGGGGGGAAAAAAGGGGGAAGACGTAGTCAATTAGAGTGTCCATGCTGCATGAAGCTGATAGAGAAGATGCTAATTGTTTTTAAGTATCCATTGTTTGATTTTTTTATGTCATTGGGATGTGTGAAATGTAGTAGGTTGTGCCCACAAAAGCTCATGATACCACCTATATGTTTGGTTAGTCTCTAAGGTGCTTCAAGACCATCTGTTGTTGTTTTATAGAGAGGCAGCAGAGTAGGGTGGCAGCAATCCCTGTTTGTGGGGGATTTGAGCTCGATAGATAGAGGTAGCAGCGTGGGAAGTGGGGGGAAGTGGCACCATGGAGCTGGTGCTGGGGGAACTGGCTTTTAAACCAGCTCCTACCAGCACCAGCTCCTACCTGTTCCCCCCTTGTTGTCTCTGTAGGAGGCAGCAAGGGTGGTGGGCAGGCGGGTTTGTGGAGCCAGCACACACGGGGAGTCTACTTGAAAGCCAGCTTCCTATGCGCATTGGCTCCAGCCTGTCCCCTCACATTCTATGCTGCTGCCTCTCTATCAGAAGCAGCAGCACGGGAGTGTAAGGGGGGAGGTGGATCCAGTGCTCGTGGGGAGCCTGCTTAAAGCCTGCTTCTCATGGGCACCCGCTCCCGCTCCCCCCCTTGCTCCCTCCAATACAAAGGTAGCAAGGGGGAAAGGTGGATGCGTGTATTCTACAGGATTAACCAGTAAGCCCAGGCTTATCAGTTAATCGCGTAGTCAACTACACATTGACATCCTAGTGTAAACCTGCCTCTCCACATCCTCTGAATGTGACTTTTGTGAGTGCACCCTTCAAATTACTACAGTGAAGACTGGCATATTTATAGTCCCATATACAACACCTCTGTCGTGTGAGGTAAAATGTAAATTCCCATTAGCCAATTCAGCAGAAGTTGCACTAAGTTTGTCTCCACTAGAAAGCTCTTTACGTATTTCATACACAACTACAGGTTGAACCTCTCTAGTCCGGCACTCTCTGGTCCAGCAATATCTGTAGTCCAGCATGATTTTAGCTAGCTGGACGTCCACTTATCACAGGTGTGGTCAAGTTTCTCTCAGTTCCATAAAGTTTGTTTACAGCCACCAGTCCTGGTTCTCAGTGTCCTGTGCTGTTATTTAGCTCAAATTTACCCCTATATCTCTTCTAAGAGGCCAGGAAGCAGTGGAAGTGTCGGTACTGCTGAGACACAATATTGACCTCCTGTGGTCCAGCAAATTCTCTGGGTCAGCACTGGTCTGGCCCTGAGGGTGCTGGACTAGAGAGGTTCCACCTGTACAGGAAAACAAATTCTGCCACAGATATTAAGTGGTGAGACAATGACACAGCAGCTACTCAGACAGGGTAAAAATCCCATAAAGCCTGACCATCATCTTTGCCACAGGAAGGTTCACCCCTGGCAACTCCAAGCTTGAGAATACCTCCAATTCTCGGAGAGCATTGTCACATTCCTTTTGCCCAGGCGCCTGTTGGGTGCACAGAGTGATGAGCTGATTAATACTCTCCGTCACAGCTCTGAGGAGGGGGGAAAAAAAAAGAGACAATGTTGAAAACTGACCAACATCCCTTATTCCTGATTTTTATTTATCTCTACACTATGAAAAGCAGTTTCAAGCCCGGGAACAGAAAACTGTTTATCCAGTAGCCAGTATATCTGTCTTCTACTATTCGATGGTACCCCACCAGCATGGATCCATCACAATGTGCACAGTACTGTGCCTATCCTTGGAAACTCTAGAGGAAAACTAGCATAGAAAGACTAAAGAATGGATTTGTGAATACAAAAGAGCGAGAAACGTTAGTACGATTGTACGCTGAGGAATGGTATGTTTTAGAGTTACCCTGAGTATGACAGTCACGTGTAATTTGCATTTTTCCAGTTTTGTTTTGTCCTGTGTTAGTGGCTCATTTATAGAAACTAGCAAAGGTTTGATCAGCCCTTTTAGATTTCACAACATACTCCACATCATTCAGAGGAACAGTTTGGATTGTACAGTAGCTATACACAAAGATTTTCGTAATATTGGTGATTCTTAACACTGTGAAAAAATACAGTGGCTTCCATTTGATGATCTGCCACAACACAAGTGACATGTGCCTACAATTTTTTCTTTAATGAGGATTTCTTAAATTCAGTGCTCAGAGATGGGTAGCAGTAACTTAGTTTAATCCTGTGGAATACAACGTCATAGTGGGACAAGAAGAACATCTTAGCTCTGAGCTAAAATGGTACAAGAGCCCCCTGGAAACTGCAACAATTGCTTACATGGATAATGACAGGAAAATGGAGGGTTACTCACCTGGCGCAGTAGCTAAGGTTGTCCCTGTGGGTGCTCCATGTTAGGTGTGTCAGCACCTTCTGTTTATAGTCAGAGATTTGTAGCAATGGTACCCTACATGGCGGCACATGGGTGGTACCCACCTCACACCAGCACGAATGGTTAAGTGCCACATACCATCAACTGGCCCTTTGTTCCTTCTCTACCCTGGATAGCCATATATTGATCCAAAGCAGAAGAGTGGAGGAAAGGTTGTGGAACACTCATAGAGACAACCATCTTGAAGAACCTGTTACTGCACCAGGTGAGTAGTCTCCTCCTCTTCTCTGAGAAATGCCCCTACTCTTCAATGACTAGGGAGCAGTATCTTGTTGTGGAAGGTGGGGCTTCATGAACTGTTTTTGGGCCACAGATAATACGGACCGTTCAAACTACGCGTCTGTTGAGGAGTGTTGTTCATTGGTAAATATGTGAATTGAGGTCTAGATAGCTTGCTCTGCAAATGCCTGTAATGGGAACACTGTTAAGCAAGGTCCATGACGTGAAAATGGCTCTGGCTGAGTGCAAGCCAACTGCATGGAGAGCTGGAACATTGTTCAGTTTGTAGCAAATTTGGATAAACTGTGAAATCCACACAGTGAGTTTGGATATTGCTTCTCCTTTGGATTGTTCAGCGGTAGATAGGAAGAGGTGTAATACGTCTTTGTTCTGGGTTGCCTGGGAGTGTGCGTAGCACCATGTTGAAGTCCTACATACTCATGGGTTGTTTTACTGGTGGAAAGGTGTTATTTAGTCCTTTCTAGAAACCGTGAGTAGCTGGGTGTGTGAAAGTAGTGTATCAGTCACTCTGTCATGCCATGTGGGACAGCTGCTAGAAACACCTTGATGGAGCTGTTAGCAAGTCTTTATTGTTCAAGATGTAGTCCAGCACTCTGGGCAGAAAAGCAGAAGGAGGTGACAGGCACTGGGTTATACACCAATTGTGGAAGTGATTCCATTTGTGGTCATATATTTTGTGCGTACTGGCTTTCCGGCTATCGATAAATATTTGTTTGACCTCCTTGGAGCAATGTAGCTCAAGTCCTGCTAACCCTGAAGAGCCAAGTTTTTGGCTGGAGGACTGTGATGCATGGAGGAAGGAGCCTTCCTGTATCCTGGGTGAGGAAGTGAGGAATTTGTGGTAGAAGTACCAAGTGCTAATTGAGTTAGATAAGGAAACCATCATACAGATTGGGTGGCTGTATCCGTGGAGTAGAGAGATGCTAGTAACGCTGCTTTTGTGATATTTGCCCTGTATTGTCTGCATGAGTCCTCTGGTAATCTATTACGTATTTTAGAGAATTGTCTGTCTGTATGGCCATCTGTCTGTGAGTCTGTTTGTTCAAAAAACTCCTCCTAAATGGTAAGAGCTAGGACCACCAAATTTGGTAGGAAGCTTCCTCATATCATAACTTAAAGCAGGGTCAGGGGTTGGTTGTGCCAGGGCAATGGGGTCGTCACATTATTGGATTTTAAGGGGAGCACCCAGATCACTGCCACGCCTACAGGGGCTGTTTTCCCCAAAGTCTGTTCAAAGGGAACTGTGTGAGGTGTCAAATGAAAGCTTATGTTCTACTGATTCTATATACGCTACTCATGTACTTGTATGATATCTATATGTGGAGTTATGAACATGGGCTGTGTGCTGGTACTGTGAATGTTCTCTGCCGGAGACAGAGGAATGGGTCTGGACTGCGTACTGTAAGGAAGGAATGTCCAATGAATGTCTATGCTAATTAGCATGGCCCCAAGGACAATGGCTCTCAAGGAGGCCAATTCACACCTGAGGAATGCAACTGGAAACCTGCAACCAATCAGGGCATAATAGCTGCAAGCATGTGAAACACAGACAGGTCACTTGACAGTGTGACCCACTCTGGCTAAGGGGATGCCAGGAATGGATTTAAAAATGCCACGAGGTGGACTCCATCTTGTCTTCAATCCTGCTACTGATCCCAGATGCAGCCTTGCGAGGAACAGAAAGCCGGGAAGGATTGTTGACCCATCCTGACATAGGATGTACACCAGAGACTTTTAAGATAGCAGTTTGTAACATCTCTGCTGAGAGCCTGCATCAAAAACCTGCTGATTGATGCATGTAATGTGTGCTCCTTAACAACCTGACTCTCAACCTTTTCTTTCTTTTATTAATAAACCTTTAGATTTTAGATTCTAAAGGCTTGGCCCAGCATGATCTTGTGGGTAAGATCTAAAGTGTAAATTGACCCGGAATTTGTGGCTGGTTCTTTGGGATCGGGAGAACTTGTTCGGGGTAGATGAGATTGGGTTCTATAACCACTCACCTGTGTGTAAGGCCTGGGGCTCATTGTGGCACAGGGAGAGCTGGAGTATCAGAGGGGTTTTGTTCGTGAGGCTTCCTGCTGGCCATATTGGCAGCTGGAGCCTTCAGTGTGACTGGTTTGTGGCCTATTTGGGAAAGGTCTCCAGTCTGGGGCTATAAGCAGCTGTGGTTTTGAGCAATTAGCCTTGAGCGGATGCCCTCAGCGGTGCCCAGACCCGGCCCAATCTCTCACAGGGGTGTTTGTGGAATGTGATTATTTTGCATGAAATGGAAAGGGAAGGGTGTGAAAGCAGGGATGGTTATACTCATGAATGTCCACAAGAGAGCAGCAAGCACCCCAGCCCAAAGAGCAGCCACTGGCTGGCAGCACAGCCGCTGCCCTGAGGAGCAGGGCTGCCCCCAAGCCACCATGGCACCCACCTCCCTTGCCCCAGTTCCAGGGAGAAGCTGTTAGGTAGGCAACATGACCCCTGTCTCGGGCTGCCCCAGCGAGAAGCCGGCAGGTGGCATACGTGGCCCCGCTGTCCCCAGGCCCAGGCAACACTGGAGAAGTCTTCTAGTTGTAAAATAAAGGACTTCATTTTATGGAACGGGATATAGGTATATTTTGCCAAGAGCGCGGGGTAATTGGCAAAGCAAAATTGAAATGAGGCTGATGAGTAAGATTTTCACTTTGAACAGGCAATGCAGAGTCTACTACATTTTGGCTTCTGTAATGGATTATGCAGAGTTCCCGTACAACTTAAATGTGGGGAACCAAACTTCTATATAATGTCATAAAGATAAATGCAGAGATACTCGTGGCAGTGAAAGGGATTTACATTCCACATAGGGCTTTACAGAGTTCTTCTCGTTATGCTGTGAGTTGCAACAAAGTCACCAACTTCTGCTGGATAGAATTAGTGCCAGGTGTTTCCTTGCAGGCAAAGGTTCTATAGCAGCGCTCTCCTACTGAACATGTAGGGAGATCCAGGGGAAGTTAAGTGAGCTAACTGCACTGCGTGTATTTCGTTTCAGAAAAGTGACTTGGGAAAAGAAGGGAACGTGGTGAGAGCACCCAGCAGTGGCACTGCAGCAGACTGTTCGCCAGATTTTTAGGCAGTGCTGGTAGCAAACTTGCAAAAGGCTGACACATTCCATCTCCCTGGCTGGAGTGGGCATTTAAGAGGTGGGATCAGCAGCAGCTCCCAGAATAAAAACCTGGTGCCTAGCCCAAAAAAGCAAAAAGAAATCTCACCCCCCACCTCCTCTACCCACTGAGCTGTTTATAGCCACCACATATGCATTAATATTGCTTAATAAGAGTTGTCTTGAAAAACCTTGCTGGCAGCAGGCATATGCAATACCCTCAGCGTCTGCATCTGTGAGGGCTAGGAAGGAGGTAGACAGGATGGACAAAGAACAAACATGAGAAATAGTCTTCTTAAAAAAAACAGACCAGATCTCCATCTGCTGCAAATCAGCATGGCTCTGACTTCAACAGAGCTGCACTGAAATACCCCACGCCAGTGAAAGCCAGCTTCCGCTGATTTCAGTTTCACTTAATAAGCTGCAGTATGCAACATCCAATAGGATTAACCAATAGTAGCAAGAGAATAAGCTAACAAGTCATACATCCTGCAAAGGAAAAGTTAAGAAACACCGGCTTAGGAAAAACTAAAGCAGATGACATGGCTGTACCTTGCAGCTGCAGCTAGGAGGTTCTTGGCATTAGGAGCTCCAGGATCAACTGAAAGAGACTTGGCGGCCAACAGCAGCTTGCTGGAGGCCATAGAGATGTTCTTGAGGTTCCCTATTACTTGAATCTGGTCCTCTTTAGTCTGGAAAATGACAGCAGCATAACATTACATACACCGATTGCCTCAGCTAGAGACACAGCTAAAACTTCAAGCACTGTAATTTGGCATTCAACTGAATTATCCATCTAAACCCAATGACACGCATGGGGTAACATTCCAGACAGGGCCACTGAGCATCACCTCTGCTTGCCCAGATAGGTGCCTCTAGTGCCTTTCACGCAGCAGAAAAAGAAACCCATATACAAGGAGCTTGATTTCTAACAGTAAGATCATTCACAGAGACACGGAGGGGAATTTAACTACTTGCTGAACAATGCTTTTGTTGTCAAGTGTCTTGTATGTCTCTGCCTGGCACAACTGACCCCCACTGTTCTTGCAAAGGGTACTGACTATATTTCTGCATCTCCCAAGTCATTTGCTTTACTTACACCTTTACTGGGTTAATAGCTTAAGCAAAAAGAAAGTCTGCAAAAGACCATCACAAACATTTAACTGTAGTGGTACGCGATATGAAGCAGTAATATTTCTGAAAAAAATCTACTATGTAGCTTTATTTGATCATTTGAATTTGACACCACATGACTTTACTTTCAGGGAGTGACTAAGAAATATCTCTATCTCTCTTTTAGAGAGTCTGTGCATCTGTCTGTCAGCGAGTCCATCTATCTGCTTGTGAGTCTGTTTGTTCACAGGGAAGAGCTAGGGCCACCACATTTAGTATGCAGCTTCCTCTAATCCTCACGTAAAGCAAGGTCAAGGTTTGATTGTGCCAGGAAAATGGGAAGTGCCTGGAATGGGATTGTTTTCCATAACACACAAACGGAGGGAACTAAGCAAGGACAGTTAATGCTCCTCAATGACCACCAGAGGCAATGAAAGCAGGTGATCTCAGGGGTGTAGCTGCACGCAGAAGACAGTAGCCAGCTAGGGCCAGAGCTTTCCATATTGCTGGCCACCAATCATGGGTAAGTGGCCCCTCTGCCCCCCCCCCGGAGCACAGTCCCCCCACCTCCCTGAAGGAGACATGGGATGATGGGGCACAGGACATCACAGCTTGGTTCTCCTCCCCCGCCCCGGAAGAGACCAGAGGCTGAGTAGCAGAGCCCCTCCCCACCAGGAAGAGCCACTGGCTGGAGCGAGGTAGTGAAGTCCCAGCCCCCCAAGAGGTGCTGCTAACTGGGCAGAATGCCCCCAGTGATGGAGTAGCACTGCCCTCACTGTTGCGAGTGGCCCCAGTGAGCTCCCAGCCCTAAGTTCTACACCTCTGCCATGAGTCCCCGCAAGGATCCGAGCAATGCTGGGTAAATCCACTAGTAATTTTATATAAGTGAAGTTAGAAAATAGTATTGCATGATTATAGTATGTGACAAACAGCGGTGCTTAGATTTTGTGTCAACAATTTATGCAATAAAATTAGCATTTTTGTTGTAGAAAGATCTGCAAACAGGTCATATTTTACCTATTTTATGTGAACAGGGCTTGAACTGCTTTCTGTATTAACTATATTTGCCCCACATGACAGGTCCCCCAAGTCATATGATACTGAGTGTATGACTATTTACAGAAAGCATTAACTCACAAACATCCCACATTAACTCACAAATCATCCCTTTAATATCAGCAATTCACAGACACTTACCTTCCTTCCTCCCCCTTCCCACCCCCCCGCATCCCCCTTCTGTTCTGCAATGTGATTTGTCCTTTTCATATTTGTTCATTTTTTTAAATTGTATCCTTTGGTATATATGGTTGTGACTACTTTCTTCCACTATTTGATCTGAGGAAGTGGGTCTGGCCCACGAAAGCTCATCATCTAATAAACCATCTTGTCAGTCTTTAAAGTGCTACATTGTCCTGCATTTTGCTTCAACTACCCCAGACTAACACGGCTACATTTCTATCACTTTTTGTTCATACGTTATCCATGAATAACTGATTGTTTTAATCTACTGTGTGATTGAGACAAACCTTTCAAAAGGGCCACCGAGATCATTGCTAGTAGAAAATCTCTTGCAAACAGGCATTTACACTAAAATTTACACTTTTAACTTCAGTGAACAGCCTTCTGATGCAAGGCCACCCACTCTTCTGTTTGCAAGTGATTAGGAGCTGACTAGCACCCATATCAGCACAGCACAAATGGATGGGTTTTGTTTGCAAGACTATTCACGGTTGCTTTTTGCTACATTAGCTCAGCTCTAGCCACACAGCATGAGGTTTAAAGGACATTAGGTCATGGTACAAGACAACCCAAAATGTTACTTTAATAAATGTAGTGAGGTTGAAGTTTTCTAATTTGTAGTACTGGAGCCTGCAATTCAACCAGTTAGCTGCAGAAAAGGGGTGAAAGAATTCCTTTGTTTCCACGTCCATTCAGTCCCCGGGGTTCCAGTTTGCAAAATTACACAATGCTGCCATACACTTTACCAACTTTCTCTACAGGCTGGCTCCAGTCTTCAGCTGACTCATGCATGTGATGTGAAGTGTATGCGCTGGTGTCGTACTGAATGGGAGATGCCAAGTTAAAATGACAGGGGTTTTACTATATGCTCAGTCCCCTTCTTACTCTGATTCACTGGGGTACTGGGCACTCAAGGGCGCGGCTTAATTTTAAGTAACTTTGAACTCCAATAACACGCCTGGGTAACTGCACCAAGACAGAAGGTGTCATTTACAAAGCTTCTGACTTTAGGAAAAGGCAATGGACTATGCTACCTTCAACTGTACAGTTTACAAATCAGCTAACACCAGGCTCACACTACATCAAATGAGCATCAAATCATAGCTTCAACAAGCACCCAGGATCAGATACGCCCATATATCTTGCACCACACACAACCCCCAACATGCTCTCGTCGCTTCTGAACGGTTGGTCTGACTCTTCCATAATAGCCCCCGACTCCCTGTAGGTTTAGATTAGCCCAGTTTAACACTCCTACACACCCAATGTAATACATCCACTCATTACAGTCACCAAAACTCACTTGTGCTTGACCAGCCATTTCAATACCAGCATCAAGGAACTCATCGAAGTCATCACTGAATTTTCCAGAGGCTGCTGCCAACTCTCCGCTTTGGCCCCGGGTAGCATGAACCACTTCTCCTGCTGATTGGTTTAGGTCAGCTGCAGCCTGGTTCAGTTCACTTTGGGCTTCTTGGAAAGATTTAGAACTTGGAGGCAGCTTCAAGAGAAGAAGAGTTGTGTCTTAGTGACCAGCCATTAACACTAGCCCATAATTGCACAGTTCAGCACAATTCAAAACATTAAGGTAATGAAGGTGTGATCTTTGAGCCTGACAATAATCTGCACAGATTCCCTGGCCAAAAGGGACTGTTGTGATCATCTGAATTGCCATCCAATACCTGATCGTTAGGATTTCATTCATGAATGAAAACGACTTTTAGTTCAGGGATTGACCTGACCCACAATCCCATGTAATAATCACCCTGGCTAGGCTGATTGCAGGTACTAAACTCTAAGCTTCTTGTTCCGAAGTTCAGGACTCTACCTGTTGAGATCAAAGTGGGCAGTCCATCAGCCAGGTGGAATAGCAGCTATCTTCAGGTTCAGTTGCAGAAGGGAACAGACCCTTGGTCAGTGTTACGCTCAGATCTCAGCAGCCCCTGAAACTCTGTGATTGTTCAATATATAAAACCAGTTCTGAATTTTGGGGATCAAATTCATTTCTCAAAGGCCACCTAGAAATACTCTGATTTGTTTGAGGTGACAAATCTGAGGAACTGTCACTAGGAAAGGTTTTAGAATGAACTAAACCGAATAAGCTAAACTTAATAAACTAAACAATAATAAGTCACCAGTACTAGATGACATTCATCCAAGCGTTTGGAAGAAACTCAGATGTGAAACTGCAGCACTGCTAACTACAACAAAAGTTTCAGGTGGTCATCTGAAGAAGTGGACTTTGCCCACGAAGCTCATGGTACCATTTACATGTGTTGCTAGTCTTTTAAGTACTACTAGACTATTTGCTGTTTTTTTAAGTTTACAATAAATCAGCATCTGTGCCAATTTTTAAAAAGAACAGAGGTGATCTCGGCAATTACAGACTGGTAATCCTGACAGGTTCTGGGCAAACCAATTGAAACTATTAAAGAACAAAATTGTCAGACACATAAATGAGCATAATTTGTAAGGGAAGAGTCACAGTTTTTATAAAGTGAAAGCACGCCTCATAAATTTACTAGATATCTTTGAGGGGGTCAACAAGCATGTGGACAAGAGGGAGCCAGTGGATACAGTGTACTTCAATTTTCAGAAAGACTTTGACACAGTCCCTCACCAAAGGCTCTTAAGCAAAGAAAGCTCCCATGGATTGGTAACTGGTTAAAAGACAAGAAACAATGAGAAGAAACAAAGGGTCAGTTTTCAGAATGGAGAGAGGCATGGTGTCGCTTAGGAGTCTGTCCTGGGAACAGTCCTATTCAACATATTTATAAATAGTCTGGAAAAAGCAGTAAACGGAAGGTGACAAAATTTGCAGATAATACAAAACTCAGCAAGATAATTAGTCCCAAGCAGCTGCAAAGACCTACAAAAGGATCTCATAAAACTGGGTGACTGGTCTACAAACTGGCAGATGAAATTGTGTTGGTAAATGCAACGTAATGCCCACTGTAAAACATGATCCCAACTATATGGATCAAATGATGGGGACCAAATTATCTGCTACCACTCAAGAGAGAGATCATTGTGGATAGTTCTCTGAAAACATCCATTCAATGCAGTCAAAAAAGCAAAGAGAGTGTTGGGAATCATTAAGAAAGGGATAGAAAATAAGGGTATGTCTACACTACCCCGCTAGTTCGAACTAGCGGGGTAATGTAGGCATACCGCACTTGCAAATGAAGCCCGGGATTTGAATTTCCCGGGCTTCATTTGCATAAGCCAGCCGGCGCCATTTTTAAATGCCGGCTTGTTCGAACCCCGTGCCACGTGTAGCCGCGCGGCACGGGGTTCGAACAAGCCGGCATTTAAAAATGGCTTATGCAAATGAAGCCCAGGAAATTCAAATCCCGGGCTTCATTTGCAAGTGCGGTATGCCTACATTACCACCCTAGTTCGAACTAGGGTGGTAGTGTAGACATACCCTAAGAAAGATAATATCTTATTGACTCTTGCCTAATCTTAAAAGAGAGATCTTGGCATTTGAAAAAGTTCAGAAAATGGAATAAAAAATAATTAGGGGGATGGAATGGCTGCCATATGAGGAGAGATTAATAAGACTGGGATTTTTCAGCTTGGAAAATAAATGACTAAGGAGAACATGATAGAGGTCTATAAAATCATGACTGATATGGAAAAAGTGAATAAAGCTATTTATTCCTTCTCATGACACAAGATCTAGGGTGTCACCAAATGAAATTAATAAGTACCAAGTTTAAAACAAACAAAAGGAAGTACTCCTTCACACAACACACAGCCAACTTGTGGAACTCCTTGCATGAAGTTGTGAAGGCCAAGACTACAATAGGGGTCAAAAAAGAACTAGATAAATTCATGGAGGATGGGTCCCCACCAATGACTATTAGCTGGGATGGTGTCCCTAGCCTCTGTTTGCCAAAAGATACTACCTCTCTCACACTCTCTCTCTAATACCCTGGGACCAACATGGCTATATCACTGTCCATTATAGTAATTATGTGAGTGTGAAATGGCTAGCAATTGTGTTTGAGACCAGAACTGTCTAGTGCATTCATGGAAGTATTGAAAGTGCAATCCTCCATTCATCTGTAGAACTAGTGGTGGAAGCGAAAACTTCCATCAAATTACACAACATTCATATGCCTCGTGCAAGTTACAACTTTTGCCAGACGTTAGTGACATTGGTCCCTGTGCTGAGACTCCTAACAAGGGAGCAAATAGTGAGCTAGGCAGAGTTAACAATCTTTAAAAGTCAGAAACTTGTAGATTTCCCCAAAATCAACAGAAAAGCAGTTGAGGATAAAAATGGCTACAAATAGGATGGACTTGTCCTAGAGCATATTGGTTATTAAAGAATTTAAAATGTGAGAAATCCAGGACAGATTTTTACTTCTAAAACACAATTTAACAACAAAGATTTCTCACCGAATCAATAAGAAGTTTCTTGCTGGATTCTCCAATGCTCTTCAAGGCCACATCAACATCTTTTTGTCCAGGCAGACAATTAACGCAGTTATTTAATGAGTGAGACACTGCTTTGGCCACCTGGAAATATACATACCGGCACAGGAAAAACAAACAAACAAAATCAACAAGAAATCCCAATGAAGAACAACATCCAGTTAAAGGGCAGTGTGGTTTGGAACTTCCAAATCCTATTTGTGGTATAACAATGACTTCTTTTCTGAGGCCAGTCACTTAACCTCTCTTTCTCAGTTTCCCACTAACCCGATTTTAGCTACAGAAAAGCTTAAGGAATCATTCTTCACACAAGCCTCAAACAGGGCTGCCTGTGAAAGGAGGGACACATTTGCCCTTGGCCTCCCATTTGAGAGTGCCCCAAACCAAGTGCTGCTGTGACCTGGTATGTGGGGTTGCAGCACTACTCAGTTTTGGGCTGGGAGGCACTGAGACTCCATGTGCTGAATTTCAACGTCAGTCACTGAAATTTGGCCAAGCTGCCTACCACTATCACAATGGAGGGGATACTGGGCCAAACCTAAGTGGTGTTGTGAACCTACATGCCAGACCATAACACTGCATGGAGCCAGCCCCAGCCCCGTGGGCAGAAGGATGAGAATGGTGCAGGATTACTCTCCTCCTCCCCTTTTCCTTCCCTCCAGTGTAATATTTCTAGAAGGGAGAAGGGACTCAGTTTCAGCTATTTCCCCTGAGTCCCGAAAACCTCTGTGCAGCCCAGGACTCAAGGTACTTACTTAAAATACTCCTCTCTAATTTTGCTTTAAAAAGTAGTACAGATTCAAACTTTCCCAATCAACAGAAAAAGGACCTGTTGTTCTGACAACACTGTAGTAAGATTCAGTAACACTGAAACGTCACTTGTTCAGAGAAAATGGATATTACAGAATGTGTTTCCAACACTGTAGGTCAGGACCCTTCATTTGTTAACATCCAATGTAGTCTCTTTTTCAATTTCACAATCAAGACCATACAGCCCAAATAAGGCATGGGTAAAAAGCCTTATTCACATGCAGTATGGTACAACAGGTACATCATTGCATCTCTTCAAAAGAAGTGCTTGTAAAGAGAACTGCATTAAGTGCAGGTCTCCCAAAGGTTCCTAGAATATAACATTCCAGCACTGGCTGCATTATCAGTGCTCTGAGTTAAATATTCAGAAGTCACACACTGCACTTTTTGTTCAGCAAGCATATTAAAGCCATGTTGCAACTTACCTGAGCTAACCTCTGCTGACTTTCTGCATCCCCAGGTGCAACCAGAGCCTGTTTTGCTTCCTGAATAAGCATCGCAGAGCCTTCCATGACATCCCTTGCAGAATCTAACATTGCATGTGCTGCCACTGGGTCAGTGGTGGATGCTGAAACACCTCGTGCTGCCTGAGCCAAAGTCTTCAGAGCCTGAGCCGTCTCCCTGGCAGCAACCCCTACATTCAGATTTCAGACACTCCGTTAGTATCCTCTAAGGTGCAATCCGTATTCTTTTATGGCAGCTGAATTGCAAGGTTATGACCCCCTTCCTACGGAACACTGCAAACATTTTAAAATTAGTCTTTCAGATGTGAACATGTTTGAGAAATGCCCAGAGCAAAGCCATAAAATCAATATTATACCCACAAGAGCACATTTCTGGGTAGTTCTAAATCACCCAACAGATCTTTCTGATAGAGGGAGAAGAAGAAAAAAGTAACAGTTTCAAGTTACTTCCAATTTAGCCAGGAAAAAAGTGTAAGTCTTAGCTGCTAGTGGCAATGAGTTCCAAAAAGACTGAATGATTTAGGACTGTAAATTCTATTGACATTTAAGGAGACTTAGGGCCCTAAGAGTCCAAGACACTTTGGAAAATGGGACTTGGTGTTTTTGAAAATTTCACCCAAGCTGGGAAGTGCACAAGCTGTGATTCAAGCATAAATACTACAGAAAGGCTGTCAAGGACAAAACTGCACAGTGGCATAGCTTAGTTTCATCATTCAGACAGTCATATAGCAGACCTATGAAAACTGGTTTGTGTTGCCCATCTGACTAGACTTTCAACATGTTTGCAGCCATATTGCCAAGACTTGTGACCCCATAAGGAGTTGATATATATAGCTATCTTGTATTTAATGTAGCTCTTATGGAAATGCAAAACATTACTCTGAGTTGTTAAATGATCTTTATTAGACCCCAGAGTAATAGAGGAAAAAAAATCACTGTCTAAACAGTGAAGTGCAGAACATGCTCCATTTATGTATGTGATCGGTTACAATTACAGCACAGAGGTTAACTATGTCATTGACACAACAAAAACACTACAGAAAGGTTTCCATTCACTGCACAGGCCTTCTTTGGTACATCACTTGCTTTGCAGTCTATAAATATTTAGACAGTTACACAGCTGGAATGTAGTTTCACAACCTAATGAATATAAATCACATAGTTGTCAATTAAAAGTGTATTAACATTAACATTCTCAGTACTACAATTGCAGAGTATACTCTACGCAGTGATAAAGCTTGCCATTGCTTCTAGTTTCCATCCCTTCTCTTTAGTGACCTGCAATACAAATTTTACCCTGGCGTATTCCACAGTTACGATCCACAAAAAAACCCTTAACTCACCTCATCAAAACCCTCTTTTTTATGTTAGAAGTTTCTAGTTCTGAATTCTTTTTTTTTTTCATTCGTTTCAAAGGGCACTGCAATGGGAGTCAGGAGCCCTAGATTCTAATTCCAGATTATCCACTCGCCGGAGGTATGGCCTTGTGTGAGTTACTTCACCTTTCTAAGGCACCATTCCCCCTGCGTAACTATTTTGTTTATTTAATCTTTGAGCTCCTCAATGCAGGCCCACTCACAGCACACATACCGATGGGGTTCTGAGCCTGAGACACAGCTACTCACAGTCCCAATAAAAGGGAGAACGAGTTCAATTTTTAGCTTCCTGAAACGTCACGAGCCCAGTCCTTTAAAGATCATGACAAAGTCCTTCAGGAAGCAAGTCAACCCCTAAAATGTCCAATATATCTGCCATGTGGATTAATAAAAAGGGGGGGTCATCTTAATGTACCACAGAGTAACAGTAGTTCTGCCACCCGTGGCATATAAAATTAGCAATACCCACGTGCTAGGTAGGAAACAACAGAACACCATATACCATCACCAAATACCTCACCATTCATTCAAGCACAAAATGATCTACATATTACCAAAGTTGGTATTAGATAAGACAATATAGAGACAGATGCTGAAGAGGACTTTAAGCTCAATAGGAATGCAAGACTTCAAGACGTCTGAATTTTCACTAGACATTCAACACTGACTACGTGTGACTACGTAATAGAAATTTGTGTCATCTAAAACGAATGACATCCGGTTCAAATGAAAGCAACTGAAGTCTTAATCTAATTCCATCAAACGAAACAATAATTGTCATTATGCTTTTTAATCAGTAATACTTAAAAATATCCCCTGGAAGCACTATCAACACTATCAATTTTATTTTAAGGACTAATATTTCACATGCAATTAAACCTGTGCATTGTTTCCCAAAACTGAAAAGGAAGTTCTTTTTTAGAAACAGATCTTTTCAGCCCCTAAAATAATGCACACAAAACACGAGTTAGCAGTGGAAAAACACATCTAGAAAGACTGCATCAGTACTCTTCACTGGCTTCATCCCTTACTATGCACATCTGATGCATGTGTTAGAGATGCTATTTATGCTATGTAGTAGGACATGCACCATCTAGCCAACATAGTGTTTTGGATCACAATACATTAAAACACCAAGTGCTTTCACTTATTGCACTTTCAGAAATATATATATAGCAGCATTTTCTGCTTAACTGGGTTCTCACAATGCTAACCTTCACATGGTGTGTAATTGTACATTGAAGAGCTATCTCCTTCACACACACAAAAAAGATTTGGATTGCGGTCATTCTTTTTTAATTAACAGAAGCTCTAACTTATACTGAATAGCCAGAGACAGGCAGCAGCCTGTGCAAACAGGTGTCTCCTTTTAAAAGGTATCTTATTTTCAGTAGCAATTTCTAGTAACATACCTGTGTAGTGCTCATTGCCTTGAGCGGCACAAGTCAATAGCTGTGCCATTGAGGAACCAACAGCTTTGGAGGTACTTCCAAGGTCCTGAGCACATTTCTCCAACTGAAAAAAAAAATTCAAGAAATAATAGTCACTGTTTAAAACGAATTAAAATAAATTTTTCTTCCAAGAGAAATGGAAAGATTTCCTACCCTCCCCCCATCCTAACTAACATCCACCTCAGCTTCTGAAACCCACTCCTTGCAGCCCTGCATTAGAGAGTCTCAAATGAAGGAAGGCAGCAAATAGCATGCATCATGAAAAGGAAATTAGAGCTTTAAAATGTAGTGCTAATAATTAGCAATATATCTAAGAACATATTTTGCTCTCTCAGCCCACGTGATGGGGTGTGCATACCCCGCACGGAAGCAGGTGGGGTTAAAACCCTCTATGGGTGGAAGAAGCCCCACCCCTTCGCCCAGACTGGGCATGCTCCAAATGCTGGGGCTGCATAAAAGGCAGCAGAGCAGCTCAGTGTGGGCTTGCCACTAAAGGAAAAGGACCTTCAATCAGACCTCCAGGGCTTCACCAGCCAGTGACCCAGAGAGTGGGAGTCAGAGCCCCAGGAGACTGCTGCCAGACAGCCCCAGAACAACCCCAGGGAGAAGCAGCTGCCAGGGAACCTGAGGACCTAACCACTTCAAGGGATGCCACCTCACAAGCACTGGTAGGAAGTGACCCAGGGACGATGCAGGTGCGGCCTCTCCCACCCAGGTAAACCTGCCGTGTTTCGGCCGGATTCGCCACCGAGGGGGTGGCAGACCAGGGCTTGCTTTATCAGGAGGCGAACTCAGGCAGCCACCTCAGGTGCCAGACTGTGGGGGGGAGGGACTCCAGTAGGACCCAGAGTGTAGAAAATTTTGTCTGCTGCTGGTGCATATGTATTCTCTCTGCTCTAGGTGCACAGAGAGGGTGGCGTGCTGTGCTGGAGGAAGGAGGGCACAAAAGACATAACAGGCAGGTAGGAGAAAAGGTGGCATGGGGGTGTCATTTGAGCTCCACTCCTCAGGTGCCAAAATGTGGGCCGGCCTTGTGGCAGACTGCTCTGTTGTGCACAGGGCCCTGGATCAGGACCTGGTGGAGTCAAGTGGGCCTAGGTCCTCCTACTGGGATGACTGGCCCCAACCCCCTAACTTACTGACTTTGGCTACCAAGCTGTGCTATCCAAAGCTAAGAGGCCATCCCCTGTTAACTTTGGCTACCTCTCATTGATTCCAGCCATCCTGGACCAAGGGTCAGCGTTCTCAGACCGTGAGTTAGACTGCTGACAATTCAATGGCTGACTAGGCAGTGTTCACACCTCTGAGTATGCCCCCCAAGAGACGGGGTGTGCATATGCCATGACACCAAGTTAAAAAAAAAAATCAAGTCATGAGTTCTCTTGTATGTTTCATTACAATTCACTGGCTAAACAAAGGAAAGAAAGACATTAAAAAATCTTTATTACAGCAACCTCAGAAGCTGATTTTCCCCTCTGTTCTCTAGGGCAGAAAGACCTGCCTCCAATCATTATTTCAGTATGAGGACAGGCTTCTTATCAGCATAAAGATGTTTCATGAGGTCGGGGCACTGGAACAATTTGTACAGAGGAAGTGCTGAGAGCCTTTTAACCAAACTGTAAACCCTTGTACATAATGGAAACTATTTGAAGCCCGGTGTGTGCCAATCCTTTCAGCATCCCTAGTTCCAGCACCCATGCATGGTGTTGGGGATGGATTTTGGAAGAGTATTTGTGTAAAAATTCCACTAGAATGAATATCAGCTAAACCAAGTGACTGCTGTTACCACTTGGACCCAAAGCTCTGAATTTTAACTATAGCTCCCTAAAGTTATGGGACAGAATTCCTAAATGATGACCATGCTCAGCCTCTTCTGCCCACCAGTTACCGTTTCTCCTGGGAGTGGTTTTAACTGTCCATCTAGAGCAGCCATCTTCGCATCTTGCAGTTCATTTCTGAGTGTCTGAACAGTGTTCAAAGCAGAATCAATTTCCATAGGGCCACAAGCCTCATGAGCCTATCCAGAAAATAAACAGAAACTGTGAGTAACAGTAAGCAACTGAACTACTACCAAAAATGGGAAAATTCACCAGTGATCATGTCTTGAGCTATTATCCATCTCTTAACAGACTATGCAGACAGCAAAGGTCATCTTGGCATGTTGCATATCTTGGATACAAAAATACTGCACAACATACTTAGCTTGCCAACACAGGAATTCATTGTCCAGCGCCACAAAGGGAACTCAGACGCATTTAGCACCGCTCAATTTCATTTTAGGTGATTAACTCAGAATCAATAGAGCTAAAAGAACAGCAATGAATACCAACTTCCAAATGACATTTCCTACTGCGCACAAGCTTTTACAAAGTCAGGTGTTGTAAGCCACAATTAACCTCTAACTGCTCAAAGAGGATATTTACTCACCTTTTGGGAGGCAGTTCTTAACTCAGCTAAGCTTGTTGCAAGATTCTTAGCACACTGGCTTAGCTGCATTGCTGCGGCTTGATCACTTACAGTCGGTACTGCAGCTTTGGCTGATGCCACCATCTTACTTCCAGGCTATTTAAAGAGTAGAGCAGAAGTGTTGTGATTCATCAGCTCACACCTAGAACCTTGTATAAATGCTTCAAATGTTCAACTAGGTCTAGAATGGACAAAACAATTAGGTCACTAGTTCTGCCATTATTTGCCAAAACCACAGATTAGCCTGGCAGCCACCTGATTACAAGGACCACTGCAAAGGCATCTAGTTTTACCTCATGTTGCCCCTAGCCAGCCCCAATTTGTTCCTTGTCATTATCCTGAGCAGTGATATCTCTGCAGCAGACACTTTTTCCCCGTTATTTATTTGTATGGTGCCTAACTCAATGGGTACCAGTGTTTGACTGAAGCCATTCAGTGGCTACTATAATACAAATAAATAACAAACAGGAAGTTTAAATATTTAAACAGAACATCTACCATTTTATGCATATACTGACTCAGACATGTATGGACAATAAACATGATACACTTGTAATTTCTTGCAACATTTCTGAATATTTAAAGTTTTTCTTCTCAATATTAGTAAATAGGAAAAAAATCAGCCAAGTAATAAACCATCACAGGATCCGGAGATAACATACCTTGGTTACATTCCAACACTTATTTCCCTGGTCTCCAAGAACTTAAAAGACTCCTAGTGACTTCAATGGGAACACACAGGTGAGTAACTGTGACAGGGTGCTCCAGTGCTGGATGGAGTACCTTGATGACACATTAGGCAAAAAGGAAAGGGGATAATGGCCCTAATTAAATCCTGGTAGGTCAGGTGAGGATGATTAGAGTCTGGGATCAATCAGGCCAAGCCCAGGGAAGTACAGCTCGGCTACTTCTACACTGCAGGATTTTTGCGCAACAACTATTTTGCGCAAGAGTTCTTGTGCAAAAGGTCTTCCACAAGAGTGCGTCCACACTGCCATGTGCTTTTGCGCAAGAGCGTCCATGGCAGTGCGGACACTCTCTTGCTCAAGAAAGCTCTGATGACCATTTTAGCCATAGGGGCTTCTTGCGCAAGAAATTCATGTTGCCTATCTACATGGCCTTCTTGTGGAAGAGCTCTTGCGCAAGAGGGCTTATTCTTGGTGGGGAGAGGAATAACTCTTCTGGAAGAAGCCCTGTTTTCTGACACTGTACTGTAAATTTACTTGCGCAAGAATGCGCGTGCAGTGTAGATGCTCTGCAAGTTTTTGCGCAAAGCCGTTCATGCGCAAAAAGCCTGCAGTGTAGACGTAGTCCTCCTGTGGTTGAGTGGAGGCAGATTTAAACACTAGAAGATTCAGGAAGCTGGAACTGAATGCTGGGAGATTTGATTTGTGATTTTGGGGTGTATTCTTTTTTTGTGTGTTTTGGAATGTCTTTGGGCAGGGAAAATAAAATATGTCTCTCTCAAAAGAGAGAAACAGTTGTCATTTTGCTTTTATGCAAGTCAGATCACAGCCTGAGCTACTCCTGTGACAGCACCATGAGTAGATTCAGACTCAATGTCTTGTTTCACATGAGGTACAGCAGTGACCACTGAAAAGATTCACATCTAGCCCATATGACAGAAGGCACTGCCTGGCAAATCTAGAACCCTTCATCTTCAATGTTTTGAAGGAAGCATGGTATATTGCTTATCACCTGAGGTCTCCTTAAAACCACACTTAAGTTAAATCACCTCTGTCTCTCACAAAACAATCTTAAAAATTGGAGTGATACTGCCCCGCCTTATAGAAGATTTGAGAATTCTGGACAAAGTCTGTAGCTAAACTAAAAAATGGTACAGTGGTGGTACTTCCAGCTTCAGCAAAATGCGTAAAACCCTACTTTAAGCAAGGTCCCAGACATTCATGGCATTTTCGTTTTCTTGCCAGCTGAGCTTCCTTTTTAGCAGCCCGTCTCAATGTAAAGTGTATGACACTTTCACATTTTCAAGGAAAGCTGAACAGACAGTACTATGAGCTACCCGTGCCTCAAATTCAGGGCAGTATTACCTAATTAGCATTATCTACTAGTAACAAATGACATTCTCCTTACTAAAGGCATACAACCAGTGACTAACCACAGATCTGGGTACGTCTACACAGCAGGGCTAAAGTCGAATTAAGCTACACAACTTCAACTGCGTCAATTGCATAGCTTAAATCAAAATAGCTTAATTTGGCTTTTCGTGCTGTCTACACAGTAGGAAATCTAAGGAAGAACACTCTTACTTCGACTGTCCTTACTCCTCATAAAATGAGGGTTACCATGAATCAGAATAAGGAGTCCTCCAGCTCAACATTATTTCGAAATAAAGTTGTAGTGTAGACATGTACTATGTTATTTTGAAATAACGCTGCTGTGCAGATGTACCCAGAGTTCTCAATTTGTCCCTCCAATGTGCCATGCCAATGTTTTACTCCACAAAACAAAAACAATTCAAGGTGTTCTCGAGGGAAAAAAATATACACTGCATTTCTTTAGTTCAGTTTACCTGAAGGAAGTTCTGACTGGAATTTATCAGAGCCAACTGAGCACTGAGGTCTTCTGCCTGAGCCTGGCTTCCCCTCACACCCTGCACCAGTTGGGGAATGTGGTCAGCAACATTCTGTTAGCAATAAAGGAGCAAGTTTTAAATGTTACATTTAAAAACTCATTCAGTACTAAACCAAGACTCACATCCTATGAAAGAGACCTATAGAATGTAATAGGGATGATACTAATATGATTCTGTAGAAAATATTTAAAGTTCCATAGAACTTAATAAATCTGAGACTGACTCTTAAAAAAAGAGTTTCTACAGTATCTGGAGAACTTAAGTCTTCCTATAGAAGTCTAAAAGTTACTTATAAAGAAAAGTTAAGAGTTTTCAGTAACAAAAAAAAGATATTTTCATTGATTCAGGAATGTTCTGTTTTGGACATTGTTTTACACTACAAATTGTTTTTGTGTATAGATCTTTCAAGCACCTTTCTTGCCTTAGGGTTAGGGTTAACCTTCAATTCTCACCTTTGATATTCAGTTTGTTTTTATTTGACTTCTTGTAACAAATGTTTGTAGTGTTTGTTGTTGTAATGTTCTGAAAATGTATACTGTTAAAATCTAGTCTCACCCTTATTCACGTCAGCTCATGTTCACATGATCGATCTCCAATTTACACTCTCCAAAAGTATTTCCCTAAAGTTTAAGTATTCCAGGAAAAAAAACTTCAGAAGAGGACTTTATCTGCTATATAATAAATCAATGTCAAAGCTAAACTAGAATGAATAGTCAACATATAAGGATAAACACCCTTTGCATTTTTTATTGAAAATATCAACTACCTACCAGACAACTCTTTGATATGCCCTGCCCTTTGAGATATGTACAAGCTGCTTCTTTTATTTAACAATTTTTCAAAAACTGTAACGTAAGTGTTAATGTATTTTTCTGGGATCTTTGACTTGAAAATGTATGTCTATTCTAGTGGCTACGCTCCTGACTTCCACATAGTTTCTCGCAGTAGAAGAATATGCTCTTTTGCACTTCATTTGATTTCTTATTTCTCTAGAGGCCTTGAAGCAACATTATTCACAAGCACTAATTAGTCTGCCAGCTGTAGCTAAAACACAAAAGAACAGTCTCTTGTTAAGTGAGTTACTCTGTGCTCTGGCTTACAATTAGGAAAATGTGACAGCATCTCCAAGTGCTTACCTTTGACATATCAAAGCTCTGTGTGCTCAGCAACCCTCTTGTCAGTGAATCTGGAACCCCATAAGCTAACATTGCAGTTTGGCTTGAAAAGGGAAGTTAAGGACATAGATTGCATGTAGGTCGACTGAGTGAACCTGAGTAGCAGTATCAAATTGCTATCCATGTTGTCTTGATACACTAGGTAAGGATTTAATCTCATTACACCTCTAGCCTTGCTTTATAGTGTGTAAATAGCTTTCAAAAATGTCGTTAGTCGTAGTTACCAGGCCAGTGTCATCACTATTAATCATTTCCATATTAACTCTGATGAACATGGTACTTTATAGATATGTAGAAAGTCAGTCCTGCCCAAGTTGATTACAATCTAAATTAGACAAGTCAGGTCTGTGGACTAATGAAGGGGAAGGATCAGTTCAAGTAAATAGGAAGGAAAGCCCTACTCTTAGGCAGCTGTGCTCTCCACTATTATTCAATCTCTTACCTGTATCAGAGCTCTCCCGGAAAACAGACACACACCTTCCCTTCCCCACTCTACAACATTCACTGCATACCAGCTCTGACTATAAAAGAGCAGTCTGCCAGTGGGTCTACGTGACACCTCGCAGCCACTTATCTGGCATGTCATTAAATCTCTTGTAACACACACAAGAAAAGCACAAGTTGACAGCCACAAGTGAAAATTCCTCATTTTCATGAGCTCTGCATAAGACTTTCCACAAATCTCTCCCTGAACAGCCTGCAGGGGGTGATGTACAGGTATTGCCATTAGCAGCCATACTCAGTTCAAGAAGCATGACAGACACCAACCACTACAGGCTGCACCTCTATAATCTGGACTTCCCTCATCAGGCAACATCCCTGCTTCAGCATCTGTTGGTGAGTCAAGCTCAGGGAGAGTAGGAAAGTACTGGAGGGGGGGAGGCTGCCGGCTGCAGGGCTCTGCTCCTGGCCCCAGGACTCTACAGCCTCACCCTCTGTGCCCCAGGACCTCCCCAGCCACTCCATCTCTTCTCCCAAGTGTCCTCCTTCCAACCCCGCTCCATCAATGCTGGCCCCCCCCTGCTACTGCTGGAGTGGAGCCCCACAGACAGAGGGGCCAGCACTGACTTTCCCCAGTCCAGCAAATTCTCTGGTTCGGACTAGGTCTCCAGGGCGTTGGACTAGGGAGGCGCAACCTGTACTAGTGTAGAAGATCTGTACTTCGGCTGTGTCAAGTGCTGCTAATAGACACCAGCTACGGAATGAGTGTTACACTTAATTCCCCGGGTCACTACCCAAGGGACAATGTCTCTTATTTCTCAAGTCAGGATCAATTAAGACCTTAAACAAGAGGTAAGGACTAATTACATAGCAGCAGGATCTGTAAGGGTTCCCTGAGTACTAAATAACTTCAAAGCAGTGCTCCTGAAGCTAGCTCTGGGAAAGGATATAGACTCTGAAGGTGATTCATCATCGAGTGGTTCCCACACAGGGAACTGGCTGTGCAAGCTTCCTGTCAGTGCACTAACTGTAAGGCAACTCCGTAATCCAGTCTGCAACCAAATCTAACAGCTCTGTGCCTGAGGTGCTACATATAGATCTGCATGTAGGGTGCCGCTGATTTATCTGCAGCATGCACCCCAAGAAAGATGGCATTTCTGCAGCATGTTTATAATTGAGATACTTGTAAAAATATTCACATCTGCCCCTCACCTGTAATAGATACTGCCTAAATATCTGTAAAAGGCCTATATATTAGAGCAGGCACACTGTTCCCTCACACACGTACTAAAAAATATTGGCTTTGATTTGAACAGATGATTAACTGTGACCAAAAAAAGAGGCAAAAAACATTCTTAGAGGTGCACACAGTGTTCTATCTGCTACAGCCATGGAATAAGAATCAAATGTTTTAGAGTCAGACTGACAAAAACAACTTAAAAATCCCTCTCCATAGGCACAGTGATTAAATCAAGGGAGCTGATTTACAGTTTCCCAAGAAGTAAACTGCATTAAATGGGACACATACAACAGACTGTCTATTAAGTGACTGCTTCCTGTATTAATAAATGTTACCTTGCAGCTCTGGACAAGTTGCTGGTGGGCTACCGTGTTCTTGTTGGAAACAGCTGCATTCTGAGAGGCTGCAATCGTCTGAGTGGCAGCAGCTGCTGCCTGTTTAGCCGCAATCTTCAGAGGGGGTGAAAAACAGTTAAAAGGCTTAACTGGTATAAACTTGAGTAAGTCAGAGAACACAACAGGTAAAATACGTACTACTGCATTTAACAGCTGAAACCTATTAAATCATTACCTCCTCTTGACTTAAAGAACTCTGTCATTTTCCACTCCAGATGAAAAATGAAATGATCATTATTATGAATCCTTAAATTTGTAACAACAAAGGGAAAAAACACCTGGCACCATAAATGTTCTAGGAGCTTCCTTCTTCACATTGTTAATCTTTCACCACAAAAACTTATTAGGAATACTGAAGAGCTACAGTTAATATAGTCTACAGCATAATGGAAGGCTGCTGAATCAGATGTGAAGATCCAAAGTAATCTAAAGCAGAAGGAATAAAATACAGTTGTTTGTGTGGATTCGGGAATTTTTCCAAGGAGCCTCTCCCTTCACCCACTTTAATTAAAATGCAGGGTGAAGTAGTAAGTGTAGTAAGTTGAGGGTCAGTAACATGGAGTCAGCAGGCCTAAGGCCTGCAACATAGAAACAGCAACAGGCCTGCAATCTAGTGAGCAAAACTTTGGTTCAGTAACACAGGAGCCAAGAAAGAGGCCGTACTGATAACTGTGTGATTGTGTAAGTTAGGAAGAGCATGGAAGGACACAGAGAGGCACTGGGTACAGACTGTCAGCCAAAGGGGAGTAATGGAACATCTTAATAAGAAACGTTTTGGTACAAAGACTCCCTAAAAACTAATGCACATACCGACCTAGGTTCAGGACCGGGTCGAAATTGACAGCATGAAGGATAGTAAGTGAGCCCCCCTTCCGTAAAGTGAGGGGTGGTACCTAGGCAACAGAGGGTGGCAACCTGGTACGTAAAGAAATGATGTAAGTTGTTTGTACCTGTCTATAAAAGGACACCGCAAAGGGTGCTCTCCGGCCGACCTTGGGGGGGGGGCGCACTAGGCGCCTGAACGGCAGGTGTCATTGCCTAAACTTACAGAATGCACAGTAGCTTAACTTTGACTAACTGCTGTTAATATCTGATATATGGCAATAGGCCTGCCCGGTGTTGGTACCTTGTCAACGCGGGCCATAGTGCCCAGTGGTGTAACATTGTACTGATCTCTGTTACCAACTGGTAGAGCTTCGCATTTGACAATAAACTTGCTCGATTGATTTCAAACCTTGCCTGCATCTGTCGTTTCCAGGGCCTCTCAGAGATCTCTTGTGTTGACCGAAGTGCACGGGGTCTAACACTCTAGATAAAGGGAGTACCGATTGTTACGCACGCAGCCGAAAGTTTATCATCACCAATGGAGTAGAGGTCCTGTCAGGAGCGCGCCAGGACAACCCTGACCAGACGACGCTGACGCTGACACTGACAGTCCAGACCACCGAAGGTACCAAGGTACGAAAACACCGAGGTACGACAGTAAGAGGATGTTTTTTCTGTTAAATGCACAAAATCATCTGCAAGGGCTTTGAATTCAACATGTAAAACATATCAAGGAAGGTAGTAATACCAGCTATCTTCAGATTGCAAAGAAGAATGTGGCACCAAGTTTAAAGCCAATGTAGACAAGTTTGCAAATTAGTTTTTGAGTTTAGATGTAAGCTAAAGTGCTGTGTCACTGACATCCTGACCGCTCAATTCACTGCTAAATGCTATAGGCACTTGCCAACAATGAACTGCACCACCAATCAAGAGGCCGTGACTATGGACTGGAGGGATCAATCAGAGGAGAGGAGGGACACTGCTACATTAGAAGTTCAGAGAGCAGAATCATGGATGTATCTTAAAAAGCATTCTTCATGACAGTTTTGCTAGAGACTACTCAAGGCCAAAAGGTAAGACACTAAGGTGATTGTTTATGGAAAAAATGATGGGATGAGTCAGTTTGAGTCTAAAAATACTGAGGGAGAATCTGAACTCATACTCAGAAATCCTACTACTGGTCTGTCCCTGCTCACCTCCCTCTATTACAAAAATAAAATTTAGCCACTTACCAAATACACTGCAATACAGTTTATTCTTAACAATGTTACCTAATTAACCTACCAAATAAATACATCCATTCTTGAAGGCTTGTTAGTTCATTCTGAAGTTACCACCGGCATAGATCATTCATATAGGGGATAGTAGTAAGATATTTCTACAATAAGACAAAACCTTATTTTCTACAAGGGATACTTACAATGTAACTAAAAAGTTTATTCTAATGGTTCATTGCTTAAATTACCCAAGATTCTCTTCTTTTACACAGACACAGGCAGTTTTAATGCAATGCACCTCCAGATGAAGATTATCCACTCAGATCTTCTTCTTGGTCTCAGGCCATTGAAAAATCACAGTTGAAAAACAGTAACTAGAAGAGGGTTTTTTTTGCTCTTTTGTACATTTAATTTGTGATTACGAAGGTCAGACTTCTCTAGAAGATTAAAGTAGGCTGAATTTCATCTCCACTGTATAACAAATTGTCTTTTTTCCTCTGCAGCACCTCTGGCTATTATGTATTGCTTCCAACCTCGTTTCTGCTCCGTGGCTTCTTTGGTGGCTATAGGGCTAAGCTGTGATGCAGTCACATGTTTGGGGAACAGTTTAAGTGAAACACTGTTGCGCATTAACACAAGTACAGGAAGATGGAAGAGTATGTAAGTGGAAATGAAAGAGTGAACATTTTCCTGTATTTACTAGATCACCCCACCAAAGTCTAACTGAATGAAATGTCAGAATAAATATAGCAGTCTCAGAATGACAATAATCCCTCTAGCTTGTTTCTGACAACTAAACCATGCTCACTAATGAAACATTTAATGTGCAAACTAGTTAGCTCACACCACTCTCAGTCTGGAATGCAACTTTCAAATGACAGTATGCCATAGCAACTGTTTATAGGTCTATTTCTTGTCGTGAACTTGCTATTTTTTTCTAACGTCTGTGTTTATATTTGTTGGGCTGTGTCTACAGATATGGGCACTCATAGTTAAAGAAGAGTAAAATAATAGAAACAAGAGAGTTTGGTTTCAAACCTCTAATCTGTTGACAATTTTCTTCTTGATAGCATTCTGAGCGGCTGCATTTGTGGCAACCCGTAGTCCCTCTGCTGCTTCTCTTAGTCTCTGCTGTTGATCTTCATTTTCCGGATTTGCCGCAGCCCCCTGCACGAGAGTTCTCAGTAAAATACAAATCTTTAAAAAAATGTCCACGTCTACATATGCACATACATGAGAATACTGATCGGCCTGTGTTTTCTGTGGATTAATGTGTCTCTAAGATGAATTAGAGAAGAAAGTTTCAACTATCACCTCAATTTCAGGCAGAAATTTATAGTTGATGCAGGTTACTGCTTACATTGTTAAATAGGGTGAAGAAGGCAGTCAGACTTGAGGATGTTAAGGACTAGTTCGCTTGCTGATAAGCAAATGCTTATCGGATAGTCGAGTCAACTAGTTAATTCCCCTTCCACTTGCTGCCTCTATCATACAGAGGCAGCAAAGGGTGGGGAAGAGGGGATACTTCAATGTAGCAGCACCGCACAGAGCCCATGCCCAGGCTCCGTGCGCCACTGCCACTTTGAAACCCCGTGGCGGCGTTTCAAAAGGGCAGCGCCACATGGAGCCGTGGGTCAGCTCCGTGTGCGGCTGCTTTGAAACACTGAGGCAGAATTTCAAAGGGCAGCACTGCACAGCTGACCACGGGCTCTGCGTGGCATTTCAAAGAGGTAGAGCAGCATGGAGCCTGGGGTCAGCAGTCCCCGCACTCAGTGGGACTTCCTGCTGGCCCCGGGCTGCACGTGGAGTTCCCCATTCCTCCTTTGAAATGCACAAGAGCCCTAGCAGAGCCTCTTGTACATTTCGAAGGAGGAACACGGAAGTGCCTATCAAGTAGATGATGGAAATTTCACTGACTACTCGACTAGTAAATTACTCGATATTTAACATCCTTAGTCAGACTTTCAGTACACAGTCCAGCATATTAAAGCACATAGCTCCATTATTTCACACACACTGTCAATATAAAATATTGTTCTTCAGTGCAATATTTGGTTCTACTGGACAACTACATGCTAAAACTTGACACACAGTAAGAATTACTATTGTGTAAATTGTGCATAATCTCTGCTCTAATAATGTACAGTATTTATGTAATCACTGTATTTAAAGTTCACTTTTTAATTTCCAATTTTATCTGGCTTTTGGTAGTTATACTCTGATTGTCAAATGTTGAATTAAGACTCAAATTTGACACGATAATTTTTTCCCTTTCTAATCCTGAAAAAGTCAATGAAATACACATCTATCAGGTCAGCAAAGTCACCAAAAGAATATGGAAAGGGTTGGGAATACAAAAAGAATGAATCAATTAAAATGCATACTTCTAGTAGACTTTTAGTGAACGTTCCCAGTGGACGTTATCAAATACAAACCAAACACTCATAGGGTAACCGACTGTTTGGCTACGTCTAGACTGGCCCCTTCTTCGGAAGAGGCATGCTAATTTCTAACTTTGGAATAGGGAAATCCGGGGGGATTTAAATATCCCCCGCGGGATTTAAATAAACATGGCCACCGCTTTTTTTCCGGCTTGGGGAAAAGCCGGAAAAGAGCGTCCAGACTGGCGCGATCCTCCGGAATAAAGCCCTATTCCAGAGGATCTCTCATTCCTACTTTCAAGTAGGAATAAGTGATCCTCCGGAAAAGGGCTTTATTCCGGAGGATCGCGCTAGTCTGGATGCTCTTTTCCGGCTTTTCCCCAAGCCGGAAAAAAAGCGGCGGCCATGTTTATTTAAATCCCGCGGGGGATATTTAAATCCCCCCGGATTTCCCTATTGCAAAGTTCTAAATTAGCATGCCTCTTACGAAGAAGGGGCCAGTGTAGACGTAGTCTTTCTGTTTTACAACAATTCCTATTTACAGCCCAGTGACTGTACATATCTTAATTTTTTAAAACTTTGCACAAACATAAGTTAATATTCAATGCTTTTTCTTCAGTTCACCACTTCCTGGTAGGTACCTTCGCCGCTTCAACCATGCGGGCTGTAGAATCTGCCAAAAGTTTAGCCGCAGCTAGAAGCTTTTTAGAGTTGTCCATGTCAATTTCTGCCTCAGCATCTGACCTCATAGCATTGACAAGATCTGAAGTGGCTTGAGCAAGTACCCTGGCCTGCCGCACCATTTCACCTACAATATTAACAAGTTAAGTTTTGAATTTCTTCATCTTTATCTAAATTTCTATGTAAAAAATTACCTAAGACCAAATAAATTAAGATTTTCTGAAGTCATCTTTTGAATTAAAATTACAAGTAAACAATTCATTATTCAAAAGCTTTATACACAAAGTGTTTGAGGATGATAATACAACTGATAATGAGAAACTAACATCTGACTAACAAGCAACATGGTAGGATGAACAGGCATAGCACTACGCTTAATAATAATTATATACCTAATTCTATTTACATGCTTTAGATGAGGTCTTGGCCCCACAAAAGTCAACAGGGCAAGTATTTCACCTCTTAACAGAGGTCTTGGCCCCACAAAAGTCAACAGGAGTTTTACTAATTTCAACAGGGCAAGTATTTCACCTCTTCACAACAATACTACTGATTATGCTATATTAAATAAATTGATTCCTCAAAGACAAAGGACAAGCCTATGCTTCTAATCAGGGGTCATCAAGGTTAACTGTCAATCACCTGTCAAGTGGCTATTCTCTGGCAAGGGGGCAGAAAGAGATCAATATACATTTTAGCAAACAATACAGAACTTCTTTCATCAGAAGAATGTTTGTGTGTTCACAGGAAATGCATTTCAAAGGGTGATTGGACTATAGAATGAAGGGCTAAATCACTCCAGCTTACCTTTCTTTCTCTCCCTATCTCTCTGTGTTTTTCTCTCTTTTTGCCTAAGATGACAAAGGAACCAGTCCTTTGACTTTCAGGGAGGTCCTGACCAGCATTTGGTCAGCAATGTTACTGGGAACCTGTGGTAAGGACTCTACCCTGAACCAACCCTAACTTGTTAAGTTTTACTTAATAAGTAGTGGTTTACATTTATTTCTCTTATAGCCATTTTTTACTTTAATGCCTTATTGCACTCCAGTGTTTCCCAATTTTATTTGGCCATAAACCCTTTTCAGCTTGAAAGAATTTCAAGGAACCCCTAGGGCTGCCAGGGTAAAATCTGTTGGAAAAAAATAAAATAAAAACAAATGCAATTTGTTGAGCCAAAAGAAGAAGAAGAAAAAAAAAGGCCCACCAAGTTCCGCATTAATTAGCCAATAAAATAAACTAGCAGTAGCAAATTGCTGAATATTGACCCTTTACTGGGGCAACAGACCTACAATATCTGAATTGCCCAGGATCACCCTGCAAGGCTGGTGAAAACCAGCATGTGACTGGAATTGTTGAAGGAGGGCTGCAGCTATACGCAAACATTCAGGGTGTGACCTTCATGCAGTTTGTGTGTGACCCAGGCTGCAAGCGACTATAGCAAAGGACTGTGAGGCACCCAAGGTTGTAGGATATGTGGTGACACAAACCCTCGCTGGTCTGGATTGTACCCTGGAATGTGACAAGCATCACATGAATGTACAACTGTGAATTATATATAAACCCTCTCTACAGCAGGGGTGGCCAACCTAAATCTGAGAAGGAGCCAGAATTGACCAATGCACATTGCCAAAGAGCAACAGTTCTATGTCACCAGCCCTGATCATCTCCTCACCACCACTCTCAGCACATCCCGCACACTGGCAACCCCACCAGTCAGTGCCTCTTTTCCTTTTCCTCCTGCTCACTGGGATCAGCTCTTTCTCAGTGGGAGACACTGGGGAAGAGGGGAGCATGGGTGTGACAGGCTCAGTGAAGCGGGTGGGAAATGGCAAGATCCTAGGGAAAGGTGGCCTAGGGCAGAGCTGGGGGTTGAACAGTGAACACCCTCCAGCCCAGTGGAACGTTGGCACCTGTAGCTCCAGCCCTGGATTTCGTACCTATGTAAGGAGCCGCATATTAACTTCTGAAGAGCCGCATGTGGCTCTGGAACCACAGGTTGGCCACCCCTGATCTAACGTCACCGTATCCAACATTTCTGTAACACTCATTCTTCGGAATCACGATGTCAGTAATATACGATTTATCCACGGCACACAGGTATTTCATACAATATATACAGATGCAGAAAAGCACACTAGCTAAACCATAATTTTAAGTGACTTATTCTCTTGAAGTCACTGAATATAAAGTTTAGGATACTGTATTATAATTTTCATTTTGAGGGAGAGGGAAGGTTTAATTAACAATATTTTTTATTTGCTCTGTATCTGTTGGCAATTCCTTTTTTTGCTGCAATTTCTCAACAAAGCAATCTCTCACACTTATGTCCTATTTCAAACATAGCACTAGTGAAAAGCGAGTCAATTTAAAGCTCAAACATCTGAACATTTTCATTTCCTATATTTACTCATAACACGAAAGAGAACTATAATTGCACAGGTAAAAGTTCTGAGTGTATTTCACTTCCATGTTAATCTATAAGTGGATCTACAGCACAAGGAGTAAAACATGTAAAACAGGATAGTGTGATTAGCAACCCATAAACATTGACTGGAATATTAGAGCAGTTTTTAATAAATACAATTACTTTAAACCTTTTTAATGTATTAGATTTCCAGTAGATGGTGTCCCTTAATTACATCGTAACAACTCATACTGCTAGCTTGTTAGAATAATTTGGTCTCAGTTAGTTCATTTCACTTTTCTAAAATGGAATTGTATATCAAGCTCATCGAATATTAGGACTTTGCTTGGTTTGGTTCCAAGGGCCATTTTCTTTAAACAAACAATTTAAAGGTTCAAAAGCTACACTGTAACATATCCAAACACATAACAGAAACAAAATTCCTGCCTGCTAAATAAATATGTAGGGAGTTAATTACTAGCAAAGAATAAAATAGCTGACTAAGTATTTTAATGGACAGTCTTCACATTTAGATACTCTCATGAAGTAAAGCAGTGCAACACAATCGGCAAGACATTACACTGGCCTATCATATACATTGGATCCTTTCATTTTCCAGGCACAATATTAGTTGTCTCAGAGGGGTAGTTGTGTTAATCTGTAACTTTAAAAAACAAATAGCCCTGAGCCCCTTAGAGACTAAAAAAAATCTATATCTAGATCTATCTACCCCTGTATATTTTGTATCATGAGCTTTCGTGGGCCAAACCCACGTCCGAGGATACATATTTGTTAGGATCTATGCGCTACAGTATTAGCTGTGTTAGAGTTCTACATGTATCCATTATGTAATTGAGAAGACCCCCCTAATGCTCACTTATGGCAGCTTTCATACTGTGGTTAGAATGACTGTTCATGGGAGCCCCAGCCTCCGGACATCACAAGGGTTGAGAAGGATTTCTGAGTGGTTAGAATGACTGTTCATGGGAGCCCCAGCCTCTGGACATCACAAGGGTTATCAGAAATCCTTCTCATGCATTACTGGAAATGGGTTTCTGTCAGTGGGAATCTGAGTGGGCTGAAAGAGAGAGGATGAAGAGAAAGCAGCTCACCAGCATCCCCCATGGAACTGAAGATACTTTCAGTGACACACATAATGGTATCTGTTGCCTGGTCGTAGCGTCCGATGGGCTCTCCTCTGCTGGCAAACTGCCGGACATGCTGCAAGAGGTCATTCAGGGCCTGGCTGACTATACTGGCTGCTGCGCTGACCTGCTTCAACAGCTCAGAGTCATCTGTGGCAGCCTGACAGGCCCTGACACAATTCTCCACTGAACGATCCACCAGCTTTCCAGCCTCGATTAGTTGTTCCTGGCATACGGGAGAGCTGATAGTGGGACTCACAACCTACATTGAGAGAGAAGATGCTGTTTAGAAAAGATTTAATAAGCCAGAAGTTACCAGCCCACGCTTGACAGGTGACACATCCGTCTCCCCAGCATTACAGAAAACAGTTTCTTCTTCATCCTCCTCCCAGGCAGGGAAAGA